CCAAGCTATGGTAAACTGGTGCATTATAGGTAAATTCTATCAAGGAATTACACTCTATCTTAGTTCCCGAAAGTTCACCCCAGTGAACTTCTCAGTTTGAGAACTAATCATTTCTCAAGAATAATTCTTAAGAATAAATAAGAATAAATGCTCACTTGATTGATTTTGGGCCAAAAATCAGTGCCTTTGGTTGGCAGGTACTAAGTTAGGTGCTGCCTTTAATGCAGACAGGGCTAAAAAGAACGTCTCCTCTGGGACTCAACTTGAGTCAAATCCATGTCCTACCATGTGGGCAAGTCCATCTCAGTCATCCCCTCTGAAGTTACCTTTTTCTTTCCTGAAAATATAGGGGCAATTATGCCCACTTAATAGATTTGTTGTGAGGGGCACCTGGGTAGCTCAGTTAAGCGTCTGACTTTGGCTCAGGGCATGATCTCATGATTTATGAGTTCGAGCCCCGCGTTGGGCTCTGTGCTGACAGCTCAGAGCCTAGAGCCTGCTTTGGATTCTTTGTCTGCCTCTCTGTCTGCACTGCCCCCGCTCGTGCTCTGTCTCTCTGTCTCTCTCTCCAAAATAAACATTAAAAAAAAACAACAGATTTGTTGTGAAGGTCAGAGGGAGGTATGTGTACAAAGTGCCCAGCTCAGCACCTAGAGAATGAAGTGCTTATTAAAAGTTAGCTGCTGTTATTCCCCTTTCGCAGTTTTTGTTTTTGTTTTTTTTCTCCTCCTGGGCTGCTGCTAACCTGTTGCAGAACTACCGAGAAAATGGGTGGGCTCGCTGCTGTCACTGGATACTGGCTTTTCCTGGAGAGCAGTTCTGAGCAGTGGCTTCTTTCCCATGCACCTCCTGGCCTGTCTGCCAGGGACTCACATCCAGGGTCATTTTTTTTACCCTTTCTCTTCCGTTCCACTTGCCCCTTGAATGCAGTCAGGGCACCAGAAGCTGGTGTAGGCTCTGGCTGTGCATCTTGCTCCCTAGTCCCAACTCCAGACCTTCGTCTTGCACCACCCCCCGCTGAAGCGACCGACGCCACCTGCTGGAGGACTAGATTTTCTTTGGTCAGCTTACAAAAGAGCCTTCGCACCAAGAGTGAGGTCTAGAAGGCCATTCCCCTCCCCGGCGCCCCCCCCCCCCCGGCCTCCTTTCTAGGTAGAGTCCACATCGCACATGGCCTGTGACTTTTCTCTTTCCTCCTCCTGAGCTTACATTTTTGAGAGCAAGCACAGTGGACATCACGCCCACTGTGAGTTACAAAGTACACTGTTCTTGTCGCTTGGGCCTCGGTCACCTTGTAGTGATGCTCTTACTTGCAGCCTTCCCATCTGCACGGTGGGGGTGGGGATTCCTGAAGTCTGACCTTACCGGATTACTGTTGTAGCGGGACGGGTGCAGAAAGCTCGATAAACTAAAGTACTGTTTGGATGTAAAACGCTACTGCTCCCCTTCCTCACATATTTATCCACGCCGTGCCAGGCTTGGAGGGACAGGTGCCAGACTCGCTCCGCCAGGACCCTGCCCTACCTCAGGGGCAGAACGCAGTGAGGCTCCCCGGGCCCCGTACCCCGTGACTGGTCTCCATGAGCCTGTCAGCGGAAGGTGCAGCACCGTGCATCTGCTGGCTCTCCGCTCCCCCAGCCGCGGTCCCTACAGCTTGGTGATGTGGCCGGGGCGGCTTTGTTCCCGTGTCCCTACTCCACTGGAGACTTCAAGAAACAGTTTTGGTCTACTCTTCTCTCAAAACTTTGACGCACCTGCCAGAGATGCCTGACTAGACTGTCAGAACATTCCGGGAGTTCTCTGAAATGAGAGAACAGTACTTGTAGCTACCGCTGAGCGCCTACCACGTATCAGGCGTTTTGTGCCTGGTAACTAGTGCTTGTCTTGTTTAATCCGCATAGCTTCTTTAACAAAAGAAAAAACCGAGGTTCCAAAAAGTTAAGTCTCTCGTCCCAAGTGACATAGCTAGTAAACGGCAGCTGGAATTTGAACTTCACTCTGTCTGATTCCAAAATCGTTGCACTGGCCACCATACCACAAGGCCTGCCATTGCTGTATGGGAGGAGAGGCCGTGCGCCACACAGGAAAACTTTCCACACAGGAAAACTTGCCAGTTGTCTCATGCGTGTGCCGTGCGGGTCCCAGCCCTGCCCATGTGGTCTGGGGCAAGTGGCTCTCAACCTCTTGAGCTGCGGATACGGTCTCATCACATCTTCACCACAGACGTGTGACACAGGTGTTGTTCCCAGCTCCACGTCACATTTGAGGAGAGTAGGTCTCGTGAGATAAAATGGCTCGCGCTGAGTTGCAGAGCAGTGATCGTAAGTGGCAAAGCCAGAACTCGAATCTGGGTCTGACACCTGGTCCGGTGTTCCGCCCATCATTTCTCACAGCGGCTCCTAAGACCTGGCGTATCACTCACGCACTCGACAGCCCTCGGGATGCCGGCTGGGAACCCGTAGAGGGAGCAGGAGCCGTGCCTCTTCAGCCCCGTCTCTTTCTTACCCCTAATATCCCCTTCTTAGAAACCTCCCTGAGGCAATACAGACGTTGGAAATTCAAGGAAAAAGCTACGCACTGCTTAAAAACCGCTTGAAGCCCCGCACGGAAGTCTAGAAATCTGCCTCCCATCCTTTGAGTCTGTGCTGTTCCTTTGGCGGCATGGTGTGGTGGTTGTAGTTTGGAGAAAGTTCTTTCTGGGCTCTTCCCTCTCGCAGTAAAATCTCACAGGGCCGTTGCGCAGGTTAGAGAGGACACACATCAAGGGCGGCAGCGGGAGCCTTTCTAATTGATGGCAGCTCTGCTCCCTGCATCAGGGTCTGTTGGAAACCAGCGCGGGACCCCCAGGTCCTGGAGCTCTCACTCTGATTCCGCGGACCTCGGGCCCCTGGGGGCGCTGCCTCCAGCTACGCTAGATGATCTCTAAGGACTCCCTTCACCTGTGCTTTTTAAAAATAAAAGTAAGGACACTCGTGTTTTGTTTTTTTTTTTGGTTTTTTGAATCTAACTGGACAGAGTTCTATGAAGTAAAAAGTAAAAGACTCCATCTTTCCCTCCATTCATTCATTCCTGAGGTCACTCGTCGCCAGTTTGTGTCCTTCCCGTTGTTCTGTGTATTTCACACACCTGTGTATTTTACACGTCTACAGGTATGTGTAAATACACACATTGTATGGTATGGTAAACACGCTGGACTCTAGGACACATGCTGTAGCATGACTCGGCCCTGTCACTCGTTTGGGGTATCTTTTCTCGTTGATACTTGAAGGTTTAACGTACTCTTCTTAATGCTTTATAATCTGTTAAATGGTCCCCTATCGATTATATGCCGCAAGACTTTCAAGCAAACGCACACATGCAACGCCGCTTTTTAAATTTTCTTTTCAGGAGAAGAAGAAAAAGAAACACAGAGACAGGAAGTCATCTGACTCGGACAGCTCAGACTCCGAGAGTGACACAGGCAAGAGGGCAAGGCACACCTGCAAGGACAGCAAGGCAGCGAAGAAGAAGAAGAAGAAGAAGAAGCACAAGAAGAAGCACAAGGAGTGAGAGCGGAGAGAGTAGGGGGGTGGCTGAGAGGAGGAGGAACCAGGAGCCCGGTGCCTTGTGGCCCTGGCTCCCGGAAGGACTCAGTAGTGAGAAAGTGGCCTCCCACCCCGCTGGCTTCTTGCCCATGGGAGATGACTTCCCCTCATGCAGCAGGCAGGTTTGGGAGTTAGAAGTCAGAAGCATCTGCCCGAATGAGTTGTCGTCCACTTATCACTCCTGGTCCCTTTGCAAGTGACCCCTGCAGCTCGCCCGTTCGTTCACTCAACTTCCTTCATCCAGCAGGAGGTCCTATTACCCTCTCCAGCTGCCACTGCCAGAGCCAGATTCCTGCACAGGGGTCCAGGCTCCAGCCACAGGTACCGCTGTGGAGGCGAGTCTGGCTGTAGTTGGAGAACAGAGTGAGTGGCCCCTCCCCGTCGGGTCTGCCCTGGGCTGCTTGGTGAGCATCCAACACGGGTGCTGAGGGAGATCGGCGGGATGAGGGAGAACATGGTAAGAAGTGGTGCTCACTTTTTCCATTCCCCCTGACATGATTCAGTCATGCTAGAAGTGACAGCCAGAAAACCATCGTCTGCAGTGACTGAGCTTGTGTGTGACATTCTGCCAGACCACTGAACCAGACAGCTCAAGCCAAGATCATTGCTTTACTTTGTATTCACTACCGTGTGAGTCCCTTGGTCCCACTTCAGGTCTCTGCTTCAATTCCTGGCACTAAACGGAAGTGTGTTTGGTTTTAAACTTACTGAAGGTTCTTATTGCCGTAATCCCTCTTCCTGGGTAATTTACAGCCTTAAAAGTCACTGAGTCTGTATTAGTTGACAGAAAACCATTTAATATGTTACTTCAGACCTTGGAGAGAGGCCCAGCTGAGGTACAGAGCCAGAGGCACCAGCAGGTCACAGCCTTCTTAGGAGATCACTTACAAGCCCTCCCTTCTGTAATGATTAGATGACCTCTCCCCCCAGAGCTGATTAGAGAACCGGTAAGAATTCATAACCCTGAATGGCCGAGGGCATAGAAGGGAGCTTAGCAGTCATCTTGGCCAGCGAGCATTTGCTCCTACTACGAAGGCACAAGCCTGCATCCTGTGTCCCGAGCCTACGTTCTGCAAAGAGAGAGACCACAGCATTTCACAGACAAGAGCGGCTTCCCAAACCCAAGGGCATTCAGTGCAGGATGGGCCTGAGGGGACAGTTTAGTAGCCAAGCCTGGGGAAGCCGGGCCACTGATGGATTATTCCAGGTTGGACTAGCTCGTTTGGCCATGGGGTGGGGGGACAGTGTAAAGGCAAGGTGTAGGTGCAGCTCTTCTGCTCTTATACGCGTTACGTGATCAGCTACCGCTGTCCCTGAGACTCTCCAGTTCAGTCTCTCATCTGTGCCGCTTCTGAGTGACCTTCAGGCAGTATTTCTGCCCACTCTCCGACACACAGGAAACCAAGACTCCCAGAGTCGTGTCACCAAAGGCAAAAAGGCAATTTGGTGACCTTGGCTCTGCTTTATTGACCTTAGAGCACCCTTTGGATGCAGTTGAAAAAACAAACATACACACTGGGAGCCAGAAACGGATCTAGGCTGGTGTCGCCTGACCCCAGAAGAATTTCCCCAACCCAGGTGGATTTATACAAAACGCCAAAGGGAAAAATGAGGCAATTCGGTGCTGAGTCCAGGGCTAGTCGATTGGCAGAGGAGCAGTCGGTGAAGGAGTGGACAGGTCATGCCTCCTTCTCGTAAGTACGAGTGCAAACTACACTGCCGTGGGTGAGTGTCTGGAAGGAGAGACAGAGTCAGATTAGGGCAGGGGTGAGGGCATCGAAGGTATCGGGGCACTCCGCATCCTGATGGGAGGGGCCTCTACCTTCATCCCAATAATCTTCATTTATTGACTGCCTGCTGTGTGCCAGGTACTTTACATGTCTTTTTTTCTAATACTTAGCACCAAGCTTTTAGTTTCGTTAGGCACTTACTTCCTCTGTTAGAAAGTTGGGGAAACGAGCTATGAGAGAGGAAGTGACTGGTCAAGATCTCAGGGTGTTCTCTCTCCCTTGCACCATTCCCGTAGTGCCTAAGATGGTGCCTGGCGCGTAGAAGACAAATAGTGAATACAAATGTCCAGAGACTCTTGGGCAAGAACTGTGCTAGGCCACCAACTCTCCGTTCCTTCCCCGACTTAGAGTAGTGCAGGGACCAGAGGCTCGAGCCACCATCATCCAGCCTGGCATCGTAGAGCCAGGCCCGTGGCCTCACCACAGGCCGAACTGCCCAGTGAGTGTTTGGTCCTGCGTATCACATTCCCACCAGACCTAGACACCTCATTCTTCACTCTGCAGGGCCTCCTGGATGCAACAATGCAGGGAGAGCGTTACAGAGACCACAGGGGCTGCTGTCTCTGCCCCAGGCCTGGGGGTGTTCAGTCACGGCTACATTCTTCCAGCGAAGGCCCCAAGTTTGTCCCCAAACAGGCCCACGTGCCAGCCTGGCTGTCCCTTCCTCCCCAGGCTGTTATCAGGTACTCGCAGAGGGCCAGGCATGCAAAGCACTGACCGGCGGTGGGGCTGGAATGAGGTGGAAAGGGCTGGTCTGTCACTGCCCCACTGTCCCTGCCCAGAGGCTTTCTGTGTGGCAGCGCCGTCCCAGGGAGGAGAGGGAAGCCTCTCCTAGGGGCCTGGGATCCAGCTTGGCCCTGCTTTCTACTCCCGGGTGAGGCAAGGTGGCAACAGAGGAGGACACTAAGGCCGTGGAGCACGTGTGGTGGCCCTCTGCCTCGCCCGTGTGATGCTGTGTGCTCTACGTCACGGTCTCCTGATGCCCCAGCGGCCCACGAGTTTGGTGTTGCTCCCGCCCCTTTTACAGTGGGACACGGAGAAGGTGACGTGTGTGAAGCCCTGTTTCGTATAACTGAGATGTGAATCCAGGCCTGTTTGAGTCCAAAGCTACCACACAGAAAACTCCCACCTAAAGCCATCCCAACCCCGCCTCCGCCCTCCACTGCTCCCAGGGGAAGACTTTCCCTGGCTTTCCCACAGGCTTGACTGAAGGGGAAGGAGTGGTAACTGGTTGGGTGAGGCTCCAAAGTTGTCCGTCTTACCAGGATGAGTTTCCCATCAACTAGCTCCCGCACCAGTGTTGTCTCTTGCCCGTTCCACTTCTGCAGGTGGACAAGTTTGCCTCCATCCAGCGTCACGATGGACTGTGAAAGAGGGTAGAGGTCTGAGCTGCGATCTGAGCCAGGACTGAGTGACAGGATGGTGTCCGGTCATTGGGGCCACAGAGGACCCTGCCTCTGTCCCAAACTAACGGAGTTCAGGCGGCCGCCTCCGACCTAGCCCCGCAGGCGGTCTAGTCCTCCTCCAGCCTCTGCTCCACGACTGCCTGGCTGGGGCGGGGGCCTTCAGGTGTTGCGCGGGTAGGGAGACGCCGGCAGCATGGTGGAGCCAGACAGCCCGGTTCTGAGAAGTGCCACCAGCCTTCGGAATGGGCACTCATCCCCTCCTCTGGGTGATGTCCACAGCCCTAGAGCCCCTTAGATACAGGGGACATGAATCATCCTATATCCCCAGGAAAGACCGGTGAGGAGGGGTCCTGAGACCTTCCGCCCGAGTGCTGATCACACATAACGTCTAACAGACCGTGGAGATGGGAGGTGCTGGGAAATCAGACTTCCTGCTCTGTATTCCTCTCTCTTCCCGATCCACATCATGTGACCCCTTCAGCTGACAAGTGGACAGCAACTGCCGGGTCCTGGGTCTGGGTGCCCTTGGAGTGTTCCAGACCCTGGTCAAATGCCCACTTAGTCTTCTGGGCTCTGCCAGCCTGCATCAGCTGGTTCTCATTTGGCAGCTCTCCCAGGTCTCTCTTGTTGAGGAATTTGGGGGCTCTAGGTCAGGCTAGGGGACTCTGGCTGAGCAGGCTTCAGTAGGAGAATCTGAGGAGGCTCTGTGTGTGTTCGGGGCCACATGGGGAGTAGTTGTGCATCCTTGCTCCCACCACCTTACTCCTGATTCCCATCCCCCAAGGTGGTGGTTTTTTTCTTTTCTTTTCTTTTCTTTTCTTTTTTTTTCTTTTCTTTTTTTTTTTTTTCTTAGTTTTTTTTTTTTTTTTTGGCCCACTCCAGATTATTTTTAGCCTAGGCATCCCAGAGCACTACTGTTTCATTGGGATTCTTATTCCTCAAAAAGTGGGCTAGTCAAGGAGGCAGATGCATGCATGTGATAGGGCAGCTACCTCTCTCCAAGGTAGGATGACATCTTTGGGCACCATCCCAGCTCTGCCGCCAGCTTCCTGTTGATTCTGGCCTGGGCTCCAGCTTCCTTCACAAGGAGAAGACCAGACCCTGTCCTGTCTTTTCTGGGGCAGTTGTGAGGAAGCCGGGAAACAGCTGAGGGGCTGACTGATAGGGTCTGGTGGAGATACTGCTATAGGAACTCCCTTTAGAGATCAAAGCCCCTTAGTTCTCTCTCTGCCATGCGTGGCCGAGAGGGCTGGGAGGCCTGAGGCAAGCAGCAAAGACAAGAGCCACCGCAGGTGAGAAGCCCTGAGACTAGAGGTAGATGTCCCCTCCCTCCCTAGGAGGAGAGGGGCTAAGGCCTGGTGAGAAGCCATACAAACACACCATAGACCATGCCCCATCCAGAACACAGCTTTTCCTGCCTGTGGGCTGGCAACATTGGAAATAGTTCCTCAGGGTCACTGGCCAAGGCTGGGAGGTGGAGGTTGGAGAAAAGGAAGCCTCTGAGTAGGTCCCCACCTCTTGTTCCCAGCTGCCCCCTGTGCTGCTGGAGGCCAGGATGATCTGCTCAATCAGGGAAGAGCTGTGAATTCTGGGCATTCTTCCTAAAGCACTTGGAGGTCACAGCCATGGCCACATAACTCTCCCGTCTATGGATTGGAAAGAAGTCCAGAACTAGTGCGTGCCATGCATGGTCACTGAGCTGGAGCTGGAGTCAACGCTGAGGTCAGAAGAACATCCTGGCCCTGTGCTGCCCACTCCCAGATAGATGCTCCCCAAGAAGAGAGGGAGGAAGACAGGACTAGTGTGCTTCTAGCACCTGGGGCATCCCAGCACTGCACAGGCTTTATGTACCTTGTTCATTTCAGTCCCCCATAACCACCTGCCCCTCGGGGTGCAACAGTAAGGTGCCACGTCTCCACACCCTCCAACTCCCAGACCCCCTTCCATGACTCACCTTGACCTTCCTGTCATCCGCTGTTGTCTCGTCGAACTCCACCCCTAGCTGGAAGCTGATCTCCGTGTTCTTGAAGGTGCTATGTGTTTTTATGGTGACAGTGTCCCCATTTCTTTCGATGATTGTGGTAGGCTTGGTCATGTTGGCCACCTGCCTGGTAGCAAAACCCACACCTGAGAGCAGGGGGAAGGTTATGAGCATATGAGTGAAGCGGGAAGGCAGAGCACAGGGACCTCAGTGAACAACTCTCAGGCCTGGACGTGGGACCGAGAGCAGAGGAGTATGAGAGCTTTCAGAGACCCTGGCCATTTTTAAATTCAGTTTTCCTGTTAGCTCTGTGCAGTGAAGAGACACTTGATTGCAATAGACAGAAGAGAACCTTAAGGGACAGGCATGCCACAGCAAGTCGGTGGCCCAGGGGCCTCTGTGTGGTGAGGACTGTCCTCGTGTGCATGTTATCGCCCTCGGCCCTCCCATTCTCCCTGAAGGCTTGATGCTATTAGCTCTGCTTTACAGATGCAAAAAAACAGAGCTGAAGCCCAAAGGTCACAGACCTGGAATTCACACCCAGAACTGTTAGACTGAAGAGCGGGCTTATATGGCCTCCCTAGGCTGGAGCAAGGGCTGCCTTCCAGGGCACCTGAGCAGCTTTCAGCCCACAGGCTGAGGAAAGAAGAGAAATGTAGACTTTGCCTTCCAGAGCCTGAGGGAGAAGAATTTCCCACCTTGGAAGTGTTTGCCCTGAAATGCACTGGTACCCTTGTCCCCTATGTATAGCAGTAAGATATTTTCTATTTTTCTTTTTAACCTTTTAAAAACATTTTATTTATTTATTTATTTATTTATTTATTTATTTATTTATTTATTTATTGGCAAGGTATTTTCAAAGCCTCTCATCCATAACCCAGAAGGGAGTGTGTGTGTCAGTATACAGATTTACGAGACGCCTCAGGTGCTAGTGCAGTCAGGATGCAAGTCCGGGTCTCTTGGCTCCTAGTCTTGAGGCCCTGTGGGAACTCCCTGCTGACCCAAGCCCCGCTTCCTTGGGTGCTGGGCAAAGCCCGAGTGTCCCGCAAGAGTGTGCAACAAAGAGCTCTTGGACAGAGCTTTCAGCCCCTCGGGTCATGGCTTCCCTGAGATCTGCCCTCTTGCCTCCAACGTCCCATCACGACACCCTGCCCACCCTTCTGCCCCCAGCAGCTGTGGTGAGCCCTGCAGAAGCAGCCCAGCGTGGGGAGGTGGTGTGCCGGGCTACACAGCCCTGGCTGGAAGTGAGGGACTTCACCCAGACCCTACACGGGTTGTTTCACTTGATGCTCGTAACAGCCCCGGACAGATTTTAATATCCCCAATTAACAGATGAGGCTTGGAGAGAGGTGACTTGCGCCAAAGTCAAAGAGTGAGTGACTGACCTAGACACAGATCTAGGCTCCAAAACTTGTTCGCTGTTCCTCCCTGGGCCATTCTCCCAGCACGGCCACCAGGTGTGCCTGTGATCACTGGTACTAACTGGGCTGGGTCTGTCTGCCTGGATGTCCTGAGAACCCTGGGTCTAACACTAGAGGGGCGAGGGCGGATTCTGTCCTGCCTGGCCAGTAAGGGCACTGGCCTTAGCCCTGCTGTCAGAGTGAGGCCGATCCCACTCCCCAGCAGAGAGCAGGGCCTTGTCGCCATGGAAGGAGCTCTGTTTGCACAGGACCCACCCAGAGGTGTGGTGTGTTTGAGGAAGGAAACCACTGAGAGGTGAGTGAGGGACTGAGCCAAGAGAAACTGAGACCAAAAATGGGGCTGACAATTTTGGAGGCTCAGAAAGAGCTGGGTTCTACTTAGAGATGAAGCTGAAGCTATTTACTGTCAGAGCTGAACACGGTCTTTTCTCCCCCATGGGCCTCTCATTCTTTACATCTGTATATGGAGAAGAGCAGGCCGGATGGATTCTCAGCCCTGCAGCCCAAATTCGCCCCCTTATTTGGGGCAAAATAAGGGGACAAAGGTGGTAAGGATGTTGCAGCTCACTTCAGGGACACAGGTTTTGGCTGGAATGTCTACTAAGGGAGGAGGGGCTGGCTCTGGGCATCCCGACTTCCCAGCAGCTGTCCCGGGGCTCACTTGCTCCAAGTGTGGCTGCTTTCCTGGGGTCTGTGGGCATAGTACCCAGCATACTGTGCTGGGGCAGTTGAGAGCTTTGGTTTCAAGAGCCAACACCTGTGGTCCCTAGTTCAGGAAACGGTTAGGAACAGAGCTAAGAGGTGGGTCCCCCACACCTTATTTGGATATCTGCCAGAATCCAGCCCCCTTTCCCTAGTAGGAAGGCATGGAATGGAGCTCGACTATGAACGATATGCTGGTTTCCCTGTCCCAGCCTGGGGGACTAAGATAATCTCACACCTGGGGATTTGGGTGAAAGGGCATCATCACCTCCATCGAAGCCCAGACAAGGAGGGGAAACGCGGAGACCAATTCTTAGCTAAGCAGTTCCTACCACTCCCACCCCCAGGGTCCAGAGGGGAAAATAGTTCTGGGTTGCACATCTAGAAATCTAGGTTTTCTTATCAGCTCTGCTGTGGGGCTGATCTGACCAGTTTCCAGTCTCTCTGGGTCTCAGTCTCCCCATCTGTCAAACTAGGCAAGGCATGGGGATCTCCAAGCACCTCACCTGTAAAGAGTCGGAATCTTTATTCTTCCCCAGCCAACACCACGCCCTCAGAGACCAAAGACCCTCCCTGCCTTTAACAGATCTTGGCCTTGTTCCAGGACCCTTGCTGCACTCCAGAAGTCCACTGGTTTTCTCCACCAGACCCCTCCCCAACAAGTGGCTGAGCCAGCTTATAATGGGTCCTCTTGCCCCACCCTACCACTAGGCTCTCGGACCGCGATTAGAGCCTGGTTACACACCACTGCGGGACAAGGTCAGAGACTGGATGGTGAGAAGGAGGGCATCCTCCAGCAGCCATCCTTTCCCTAGTTCAACGTGGAGGGGCAGGGGTTGTTGCTAACTGTGCAGCGCCTCCTCATATCCCATTCTCCGGTAGTTCCCTCTTCTATCTCCTTCCTCCTCGGGGTTCCCGCTTCTTTACGCCATAGTACACTCCCCATCCGCCCCATTCCCTTTGCGAATTTACACTTTCCAATCCCTAAACCACCCATGCTCCTGGTTTTTTGCTCCTCTGGCTAGCCTCCCACCTTCTAGGTCAATGCTCTCCTTTCATACAAACCCACCTCCTAGCTCCAGATCCTATATATATATACATACATATATATATATATCTACCTACCTCCTTGCTCCTCCCTACCTGGGAATCCCTCTAGCCGGGTTCAGACCATGAAAACCCCCTTCCAACAGGCCTCGCGTGCCCTAGCCCATGCTGCCACCCCCTCCGCGTTCCCTTACTCCCCAACCTTGAGCAGGAGGGACGCAGCAGGCTCGCGTAGTAACACCCAGAGCCAGAACGCTGCGCGGGGCTGCGCACGCGGCCAGGCCCTCTCCCGCCCAGCATCCCGAGTCGCACTCACCAATCGACTTCATGTAGTCATCGAAATTCTTGCTGTCCACTAGCTTCCAGGTGCCCACGAAGGCGTCCACCATGGTGAGGCTGGGCTAGGCCGAGAAAGCTGAGGAGACAGAACACGCGTGCAAGGACTCCGGGACCCGCGGTTCCCTGCCCGCGCTGCCGCTTTAAATAGCCCTTGCATCACGTGGTGAGGCGTGGCCCACACCCCCAGCTCCCGAAATAGGAAGCCTCAGGCGGGCGCTCCACCGCCCGGAGCTGGCTGCCCATCCCCCACGACCCGCCCGGCCGGGGGAGGGGGACAGCTAGTGGCTCCCGGCTCTCCTGCGTCAGCGCGGGGGCCCGGCCTCCGAGTCCCTGCCCCGCGCTGGCGGGACCTGCTCTCTTCCCAGGCCTCCAGGCGCTCGTCGCAATCTGAGGAGGAAGCAATTGAGGGCACGGTGCCCGCGAGGTGGGGCGCGCGCTCCGGACATCTTCGTCCCCCAGTGACTCCCCGAGCTTGGGGTTAGAGCAGAGGTGAGAGACTAGAGGAGACAGGGCTGATGCCCACGCCGGGAAAGCTCTCGCTGACCCTAAGCGGCGCAGGCATCTCGGTCCTCATTTTGCAGGTGAGGAGCCCAAGGCTCAGAGGGGAAGTGACAAGGTCGCAGGCAATAAGGCGAGGGTTAATTGGAGCCCAGATTGCAAGCCTGGTCTTAGCTGGTCCCGGAAGCCGCGCTTTCCCGCCACTCCGCACTGGCCGGTGGCGGGAAGAGACCAGGGGGGCACCAGTGGGAGGCTGAGCTGCCCCTGTGCCCTCCACCTGCCCCTGGCGAAAGCGACCCAAGCCGCCGCACCCTTCCCGCCCCGCACGTGCTCGCCCCTCCCCGTGGAATGTCACCGGCGCGGGCCTTTCCGCCCTGCAGGGCTGCTCCCCATCCTCCTTGCCAACGCTTCAGGCTTCTCTGACCTGTACGCAGGGCTCAGAGCATTTGATCGGGTCACTTGCCCCCTCACCTCCTTCCGAAGTTCCGTCCCCCAGCCACCTGACAGGCCCAAGGGCAGCTCCCCGCCTCCTGACCGCTGCAGCCCCGACCTGCCTGCCGGCCCTTCTCTGACCTCTTTCACAGAATGTCCCTCACCTCCTTTACAGAGCCTGCGGTGTGGACACTTTACAAAGCGCTTTTAATAGGAAGATCCACCTTGTATTGATGTGGTTTTTTTGCACACCGAGGGCTTTAAGTGCATTTTCTCCTTGAACTTCCGGAGCAAAGTCCACCAAGTAGGTTTTATCATTTCCACTGTTTTACAGATGAGCAAACTGAAGCTTGGAGGGGTCCATTCATTTCTTAATCTGGGGGGGGGGGGGGGGGCCCGTTATTAAAGCGCCTACTTTTCACCAGGCCTTGGGCTAGGCTCTGGAGAGACCACCATGAATAAGACGCACTCGTGTAGCTTCCCTTTGGGCAGGCAGACCTCACCTAGCCTGGTGGCTTTGAGGGGAGACCTGTCCTGACCTAGGGGCTTGGAGGAGACTCCCCAGAGGAAGTGAGCGGTAAGCGAGTGCCGAACAGATAGGAAGCCCTGCAGAAGTAAATGGTGCCCGGGTGCCTGGGTGGCTCAGTCTGTTAAGTGGCCGACTTCGGCTCAGGTCATGATCTCAGGGTCCGTGAGTTCGAGCCCGGCGTCGGGCTCTGTGCTGGTAGCCCAGAGCCTGGAGCCTGCTTCTGTTTCTGTGTCTCCCTCTCTCTCTGCCTCTCCCCCACATCGCGTGCTCTCTCTCTCTCTCTCTCTCTCTCTCTCTCTCTGCCTTTCAAAAATGAATAAATATTAAAAAAAAAAAAGTGAATGGTGCCCGACGGAACTGAAGCCAGCAGAGGTCCACCCAGGGGGCTTGCAGGAGCGCAGGGCACACTAGCCCTGGGGTCCCAGCAGCTCTGCACATGTGCAGTGTGGCAGACCCTCCTCCCTGGGCCTCTGTGTCTCCATGTGGAAGTGGACAGCATCTGCCCCTACCTGACTTTCTGGGAAGAAGCCAGGGAGGGAGAGCCCTCGCTTGGCCAAGCTCTTGGTTTGTGCGGACAGGTCCACTTGCCAGAAGGCCTTAGGGCCGGGCACGGAGCCCTGCTGACCTCATTGCCGGAGCAGGTGCAGCGGAGGGTGGGGAGGAGAGTGGGATGGTTTCTAAGTCAAGGTCACAACCTTTAGACACTGGACCTCCTCTCTGAAGGACCAAGTGGCCAGAGACCCCAGAGGCCAGAGCGGTCTCCCTACATGGTCCTTCCGATGCAGCCGTGGAGGGCTGGGGCTAACAGCTGCGGGCAGGTAGATCTGTGAGCCAGTTCTGATTCCCTTGGGTACTGGGCGTGTGGCCGTGGGTCTCAGTTTCATGTTGAAAATGGAAGTGACGACAGTATTTACCCCGCTAGAGATGTCTGGGGAGCAAACGAGATCATGCATTTAAAACGCTGAGCATGGGGGACTTCCATGCTCGATTCCACTGCTTTATCGTTACTGTCATCCTTGGATAGGGTGGGATTCTCAGGCCCTGTCCCTCACCTGCCGGGCCCCCCCCCCCCAGCAGATCGCTTGGCTTCTCCAATCCTCAGTCTTCTCATTTCTGGGCAGGATTAGAACCTGCTGCAGCCGTGGGGAAGGAGCTGCAGAGACTTGGGGGATGGGTTGAGAAGGACACTGCCACAAAGTTCTTTTGTCCCCTGCCTAAGCTGAGCAGCCTGGAGACAAAGCCTAGACCCATTAGCCTTGCTGCCCTACCCCCATCTCCCCAGCACACCCAGACCTGAGTCAGTTGACTCCTCAGGCACGCCCTATCTGCTTTCCACTGGGCTGTCTTCTCCCTTCCAAATATGTACAGCTTCTCATCCCTCCGATTACCTGCATCCTCTCTGCCCCGTGATACTCCCTGCATCTGGGGAACGAGGGGTAAGGGGAGGGAATGTGAGCCCTTCCCTTTTCCTGCCCCTCCTTCTTGCCCTTGGCAGATCCAGCTGTGGATACAACATCTGTCAGGCCGCAGGGCCAGTCCCTGCCAAGAGCGCATCTCCGCAGCCCTCGCCCTATGGTGATGTCACTGTTCTGTGTCTCCACGGCAACCACAGGCTGGGAAGATGGAGAAGAGGAGAGCCGAGTAACCGAGAGAGAGCCAATGAGATGGGCCAGCTGCACCGGATGATCCGTGGGGCCATGGGGCGGGGCTGGGGGGAGAGCAGGGGGCCTACTCAGCATCTTGGGCTGCTTCCTGGACCCTCCCCGCCATCTGGACGCCTCCGATAGGGGATGTGCCACTGGCACGGGGAGAAATGCCGGAGGTAGAGGCCAAAGAAGCTGAGCTGGAGCCTCCACTGACCCAGGGACATAGAGACCCCCCCATAACCTCTTCGGGGCCTAATCTGTGCATGTTGACTGCCCCACTCCACCCCCAGGACCTGCTGCTGGAATTTTTTTTTTTTTTTTTTATGGTAATGGTGGTGCAGCCCTCTGCCACGGAATCAAGTCCTTAACCCTTCTCTCCACACCCTCCATAGCTTCCCCTGGTGCATGATGTATTCAGAAGCGGCATCTTTGGAAAGAAGCCTGGTTCTAAATCCCAAGCCTGCAACTTACTAGTCAAGAGACTAGGAGCCAGTCCCTTCCCCTTCTGAGTCTCCTTTCCTCCCAAATGGAGGAAGGGCCATCTACTCCCAGGGTTGACAGGAGGATTAAAAGAGACAACATATGGAAGCCTAACACACAGAATACTCAATGAGTGGTGATTACGTTCTCCCTTCTGGGTCTCCCCGGAGCAGTTTTCCCAGAGACGCACGTGAATGAGCCAAGGCCCTTTGAGACATTGAACCAATAGCAAAGGACCAGGTGTGTCTGTCTCCTCACTGGGGCCATTAAGTGCCTTCAGATACTGCAGACAAGTTTTCCACATCTCTCCCAGTCTCCGTGAGTACCTCCTGCGCCCAGACGCTGTGCTGGGCTCAGCAGGTTCCAGGGGAGACAGAAGAGCCACAGCCCCCATCCTCCCTGAGCTCACTATGTAGGGGGATTGCAGCGCGGTGGCTGGAATGCCGTGTTCTTTCTGCCACAAGGAAATCGCTTCCTCGTTCCCCAAGAGTTCTAGATACTGTGGGTCTGAGAGAACAAATGATGGCAAGAGGTCGGGATTTACTCAACACCAGTTGCTTCTGAGAAACTGCTGCCTGTGGCACATGCTCCCTGGAAGGAGAACAATGGTTCTCTCTGCCCAGGGAGGAGAGGGGGTAGCTCAGGGTGGTGGGGCGGTCACCTCGGCTTTCCCAGAAGCCAGCTGTCCTCCCTGTTGGCAGAATAAAGCCCAAACTCTTCCGCCTTGCTCCGTCTGTTTCATTAGTTAAGTTTATTACTGAAATCCTATTCCGAGAATAGTGCCTGGCAGATGGTTGGCATAAATGAATGAATATTGAACGAATGAATGAAGGAGTGTATGGAATATTGATTGAATGAATGAATGAACGAGTGGGTGCGTGAGTGAATCTGTCTACGTCTCTAGCTTTGGGGGCTCTGGAGTGAGACTCACTTGGCTTCCATTCCTGCCCCTGTTGCTTACAGACCAGCTGTGTGGCCTTGGGCAAAGTCACCACCTCTCTGGGTCTGTATTTCTTTATCTGAGAAAAGCACATCACAGTTCCCACCAAGCCAGCCTCCCAGGGCCTCTGGGGAGATAAGCTTGGGAATGCAGTACAAAGAGTAATTGTTTCTCTTCTCAGCCTCCTTCCAGGGAGGCCCCCAGGCTCTGGCCTCCACCTGCCTCTCCACACCCTCCACGCTGCAGCCACTCTGTTCTCGTATCTCAAAGGGGTGCCATGTATCTCTTTTGTGTTTGCCTAAGAGGACTCTTCCTCCCTAGCTGCTACTCTCTTAGTTATTCCTTACTTTTCAGCTTGACTGTCCCTCCTCCGGGAAGCCCCGTCTTCCCTAGCAAAGCACTCACCCCGCTTTCCATGTGGTCCACTCGACTCAGAGTCTGACTTTTCCTATTACACCGACCCTGCCATGTCCACGGAGCCTCTCACAGGGCCTGGCATGGGTCTGCGAAGTAGACAGTCTCCCTGAGAGCAACGGAAATCGCTTGTCTCCTTCAGAGTTCTCGGTTTGCAAAATCTGCCCCCACTTGTCCCCCCCACTTTCCCGTTACTTTCAACTTTTCTCTTGCCAGAGTATCCTGTCTCGTAGCCTCCTTTCCACTCCATCCCTGAGGGCCCTGAGACGGCGCCCTGTCCTGTGGGTCGTGGGGCTGAGAACTGCCCTTCTGAGCACATAGCTGTAGCCAGAATCTCAACTGTAGCTCTTTATTATTTTTTAATTTATTATCATCCGTGTGTAAGTGAGTTTTATCCCCAGCGTGGGGCTTGAACTCACGACGCCAAGATCAAGAGTTGCCTGCTCTACTGACTGAGCCAGCCAGGTGCCTCTTTAGGGACAGTAGCTCTCTTTAGGGACAGCTCCGGTCCTGGGAAGTCAATCAAACCAGATTCCACACAGCCCCTGGCTCCTTCCCCACACTCCTTCCCCTCTATCCAATGAAAAATTTGCCTCTGCAAAACTACAAATAATATTAGATTAGACTGAGTGAAGTATAATAAGGGAAACCTAATGCCTATAAAACTACAAATAATATGAGATTGAGTAAAGTATAATAAGAAAGGGAAACCTATCAACAGCACACTACCCCGAGGTCCGGGGCGGGTTCATGTGCCATGTGACCTAGCGGCAAACAGACGTTTGGTTCAATGGTCGCTCCCTAGAGCACACTTCATTCAGGAACAGCCCGCTTAAGATTCTGGAAAGAGGCAGGCAGCTCCAGGAGATCTGATGAGCCTAGCTGGTGTGGACAGGTGACCCCTGTGTGTCCTTAGGTGAGGACAGCTGGTTGGCAAGCCCTGGCAGGGGTCTGGCAGAGAAGGGATCTTGGACTCAGGAGTCTGGGACCTGGGATCTTGGGGTCGGCTGTTTGGGTGGGGAGTGGTGTGTGGGGGGGGGGCAGCATCTCTGGGCCCCGTAGTCACCAAAGACACTAGATAGGAAAGGCAAGGAGCCTACTTGGACTTGAACTGGGTGGACTTGGGTGAAAGAGCTGCCCTCCTAGAGGTGGGAGGTAGGAAGAGATTAGAAGGGTGGGACCAGAGTCGGGAGGGTGACGTCAGATGGGCAATGGGGTTGTTCCGTGCAGGGGTCAGAACAGCCCAGGGTGGCATCAGGAGCTGAGGACTGGCCTGTGCGCGGTCACTCTCTCCATTTGAGTCACTGTATGAGCTGTCAGGGGCCAGGAGGAAGAGGGGGAAAGACCACGGGCAGGGCAGTTGGGAGACCCGATAACCGGCTGTGTGAGCCTGGCCAGTCAATCTCTCTGTGCCTGTCTCCTTTTCTGCGTGATGGGGACAGTCATGTCTACCTTCCAGGGTGGGAGGAAGGAGCGCATGAGATCGTGGGGACAGAGCACCTTTACACGCTGTGACGCGCGGTGCGGGAAACGATTGCCCGCGGCCGTGCGGCACTCACGAAGCGCCGGGCACTGGATTCAGCAGGTTTCAGCCTCGCAGCTCTTGCGGTTCTGACAGTAACCCAGTGATGTAGGCACTTTGGTTCCCATCCCCAGGTTACAGATGAGAGCCGAGATTTGGACCCAGGACCCTGGCCCCGAGGCCTTGTATGGCCTGCCACCATTCCACACCTTTCCCAGAGACAGTCTGCCCTGCCTCGCTCTGTGACCTTGGGCCAGTCTCTTTCTTTCAGTGTCCCCAACGCCATGGCAGGGGGTTGGGCCAGATGAACCCTTTAATCCTTCAAGCTTTGGCAGTTGGTGGTTCAGGGAGGGTACTTCCAAGTGGGGGAAGAGGGTGGGGTGGGGCCAGAACCAGGAGAGGACAAACTTTTCCAGTGTCTCTGCTCCAATCCCGTCACCTCCTCAGGGGGTAGGCTGGCAGGCTCCCCTTTGACCTACAAGCCGCGGGGCCAAAGAAGCAGGTGATGCCCAGCCCTGGCCTGAAATACCCACTGGTCACTGAGGGTGACTGAGGTCTGAGTCCCAGAACAGACCACTAACGGTCAGGCAGGGCCCATCTGCCTTGGCTAGCAGACCCCAGAGGGCAGTAGGGCCACATTCTGCCTGAGTCATACCTCTTGGTCTCCACCCACCCATCCTGGGCCCCGACACCCTCACTCAGGGTCAGTTAATCAGGGGGCCAGGCCTGGTCTGGACCCAGGGAGGTGGCTATTTCTAGATGTCCTGCCTGTCTCCTTGGCCTGGGCCTCCAGCCAGCTCAGGACATGCACACACACACACACACACACACACGCATTCTTGAACTTGACTGCCATTGGCTTGGTGCCTGGACCCGTACTGGCAACCAACCGATGGCCTAAACTTAGGTCCCACCCCTACAGAGAGAGGGGAGAGGTGGATGCCTACAGACTATGGCAATACAGAAAGGCTATCATTATCCCACGTGTGGACCGCACACGGACCACGGACCACGGACCACGGAAGGCCAGGAGCGGGAAGCCACTCACTCTGCCCAGAGAGTCAGGAAAGGCTTCATACCGGACGTACCCTTTGGACTAGATCTTAAAGGATGCATAGCAGTTTGCCAGGTGTGGGGTGAGAAATTGGGAAGGCAGAGGAGGAGTAGACAGTTAAGGAAAGATGAGATTTTCCTGGTGATTGATCTGGGATGAGGGCAGAGGATAAAAGCGGCAAATGAGGGGCGCCCGGGTAGCTCGGTGGGTTGGGCGTCCGGCTCTTGATCTCGGCTCAGGTCATGGTCTCACGGTTCGCGGGATCGAGCCCCGCGTCCGGCTGTGCACGGGTGGCACTTGGGATTCTCTCTCTCTCCCTCCCTCTCTGTCCTCTCCGCCCCTCCCCCGCTCATGTGCAGGCTCTCTCTCTGTCTGTCTCTCAAATAAATAAATAAACAATAAATAAAGATAGGAAGATCGTTTCGGCCCGGAGAAAAAAAGGCCTTGCCCACCATCAAGGAGGCTGGCCTTTCTTCCGAAGGCCATGGGGAGTCACTGAGGGCTCAGGTGGGGGAGCACGATGATCTGACTCAGATCATGGTTAAGAGTTCTCTGGCTGTCGTGTGGAGGCTGGACTGGACACTGGTTAGTTAGGAGGCTATGGCAGTCGTCCCAGGCTCTCACCAGCAGCCAGCAGGCAGGGGACAGAGGAGGACACACCTCTCCTAATTAAAGGCGTGACCTGGCAGCTGCACTTATGGCCTCCCTCTTGGCCAGAAATGAGGCACGTGGCCACATCTAGTTGCAAGCGAAACTGGGACACATGCTCATTGTTCTGGACGGCCTGTGCGTCTGGAAAACAGAGAGGGTGGCCATCACGGGACACAAGGTCCCTGACACAGTGGTTAAAAGTCCTCTCTCTGAAACCAGGTTTCCTGAGCTAAAGCCTTACCTTACCATGTCAGCTTTGTGGGCAGATTACGTGCCTTCTCTGCACCTCCGTCACCTCGTCGAGGCACAACGAGCTGATACGCCAAGTCTTAGAGTAGAGCCTGGCACGCAGTGAGGTCCAGGGCTGTCTTTAGTTTCTGAGACAAGGGGATGTTCTGGGGACAGGTTCTGCCTGAGCGCCCTGGCAGGGCTGAGGTACCCATAGGGGGGCTGATGTATGGCTGGGACATCTGGAACTATCCAGCCCCCACCCCTTAAACCAATGGTTTAGCTGAGGCAGAAGAGGCAGGGAGAAGATGTTGGGAAAAGAAAGGTTGATTTTGGAGGGGATTCAAGAATAGGAAACCCAACGTCTGACTTCGGCTCAGGTCATGATCTTGCGGTTCAGGAGTTCGAACGCCGTATCGGCTCACTGCTGTCAGCCTGTCAGCCCAGATCCTCTGTTCCCCACCCCCCTCTCTCTGCCCCTCCCCTGCTTGTGCTCTCTCTCTCTCTCAAAAGATAAATAAAACTTTTTTTCTTAATCTTAACATTAACAACAACGACAAAAAAGAATAGGTAGCTCAAGAAAAGATACCCCGGGACTCAGGAGTTTCAGAGGCAGCCCAGCCCTGAGCTCCTTCTCACGGGACTACAGATCCCCCAGAACCAGGAGGACGTGGTTAGTTTTGAGTCAAGGGCACCTGAAGCGGGGCTCAGGCTCATAGCTGCTGTGTGAGCCCAGGCCTCCAGCCACCATTGCCCCTCTCCGGACCTCGGTTTTCCCACCCAGAAGCTGGAGATCGATTGGCCCAGCCTTCTGGCCACATGGCTGAGAAGATGTTTGTCCTGGCTCTGAAACTGGCCTGCGTCTGCAGGGCTAAACACCCGGGAGGGATGGGTCGCCAAAGATGATAGTGTGACCCCTCCCAGGAGGGCGGAGCGTTGCAGCCACTTGCTGTCCTGACTTCTCCCTCATCTGGCCTGTGTTCCAGTCCCCAGGCTGCGGACTGTAAAACAGGGTGGGACGAGAGAGCTAACGGGGGCGGGTGGGTCAGGTGATCTACGTTTACACCGGAGAACGCTGTCTTCAAACAAACTCTTAGATGCACGTCCAGGAGATAAGAGAAGGCTGTATGGTGGAAGCCGAGAAAGGGCCTGGCCCTTGCTGGTGAAGAGTGCCGGCCGGATCTCTGGGCCTCTGTGGGCCTGGCTGCCCACCACCCCCCCCCCCCCCACCGCCTGCTCTTTCTGCAGCCTGGGGTGGAGGCGGGGTGGGGATGGGGGTCCAGGCAGCTGTGACAAACAGCAGGCAGAACCCCCACCCTAGGTTGCCCTTCTATCCCTGGGAGCTGGCAGCAATCACCACCCCTGAAGACCCCTCCGGTCCCTGGGCTGGAGTGAGCACAAGACCACGAGATTTGGGGTTAGGAAGCTCCTGGTGCCACCCTGGGTAAGTGATCTGGAGCAGCCGCCATGCCTCTCTGGGTCTCAGTTTCCCCGTCTGAACAATGAGGGATGAACGCGATGATGTCAATGTCCTCAGCCCCTTTCTCATTTGTGGCCGGAGGAGAGATGGGGGCTGGTGGAGACTGTGCTATGGGTGCCGTGTTTCCCAAGAGAGATAGAATCCTGCTCA